AGGCCGCTTTTGGTTGCTGTCTTTCGGCTACCCATTTGGATGAACATTAGGAGAAAGACAGAGAAAGGTTGAAAGTAGGATCGAAGAGCAAATTGAAAAGTTCAGTGGACTAATGATACAGAGAAATTGCACGAAATGCACGAACGCCACTGTTTACGACATCCAGCCATTTCACTCAGTGTCTCTAACCATCGGGTACGATGATCCCGAGGTTCCCAGCCAGGGAGCCTAACGGGACCTATGTGGCCCAGACTCCTGGTTAGGGTTTTAATAACCTCGTGCTAGGTCTTAGCTTGACCATCCTGAGCTTTATTCCACCCACTAACTGCCTCGACAAACATCGCTCGCCGTGGCAACCTGGTGACATGCGTAACGCATACCCCAACCAACGTAATCTATGGACGACTGCGGTTGCCTAAAACTCAGCGCCTAACCTCATTAATGCTCGTCCGGCTGCCTCAACAGATTCGTGCAATGCTGCGTAGACAGCCGTGTTCAAACACCAACACACTATCTTCATCCTGTATTCTTAATGGCTAAGTTTCTGCGCCGTATAGCAGAATGGGCAGAACTGCTGGAGCATACACTCGACTCTTCACAGACAACCGGATGTCGCGATGGCGAGTGAGTGAGACTGGTTGCTGGACCAACCCAGTTTTATAGTAACATTTTACACTTCGAAGGTGCAAAACGCATACCGAACATGACTACACTAGCACTCAAACTTTACCTGGATTACTGGATCACTCAGTAGCACAATGTCGTCTGCATACTCTAGATCAGAAAACCTGCCACCTGGGAGTAAATCGATGCCACTATCCTCGCACGAGGAAAGGGCTGTTTCCATAATCAGATCTATAACAAATTTAAATAGAAAATGGGAGAGACGGCAACCCTGTCGAACACCACTTTCTGTGGTGAACTCGGTCGAAAGCGTGCCGTAAGCTCGGACTCGACTTCGGTTATTAGTATAGAAGAATAGTAATATTGAAATAAGTTTCTCGGGCACACCTTTCGGGGAAAGGCGGCGCCAGAGTTTGGAGCGGTCGACTGAGTCGAAAGCCGCTTTAAGATCCAGGAAGATAGAGATGGTAGGTCTACGAAAAGAATGTCGGTGCTCCCGAGTTTGGCGAAGAGTTAAGCTGTGGTCGATACAACCTCGACCAGTTCTAAAACCAGCCTGGTTCTCACGCGTGCACTCTTCACTTGCGGCAGACACTCGTCGGAGTATGATAACAGCGAGAAGTTTAGAGACGATGTTGCTTAAACTAATTCTTCGGTGGTTTTCATACGAGGATTTGTTACCTTTCTTGTAAGAACGTATGATGACCGATTTACACCATTCAGCTGGAACTTGTTCCCTCTCCCACACTGATCCCAGAAGTTTCGTTAACTCCGAAACCAACGCTAAACNCCTTATGTCTTTTCAGATAACTTATTTCCGGGGTAACCTCCATTTCAGATGGAGACTGGCATCGAATGGCAGAATTTGCGCAGTCGCGTTGGAGGGTGATAGTTCAGATGTCGACGGGGGCTAGTTGAACTGAGCCTCTAAATGTTCAGCCCATCGATCAAAACGGCGTTGCTGATCGTGAATCAGTGTGCCATCGGATTCCTTAATTACCTCACTTACGGTTATTTTCCTAGGACCCGTATTTCTAATTAGACGGAAAAGATTGTGACTATTGCCAATAGCCGCAGTCTTCTTCATCCCTCTACACTTTTCTATCCACCACTCCTCGCGGTTATTCCTCAGGCTCTTGATGAGCTGGCGTTCGAGGGATTTGCGCGCTGTGTCATTTGCGGCATCGGGAGGAAGGGTTCTGCGGGCGTCCAACAGGGCAGCCGAGGTCGGAGAGATCCATCGTTTATGTTTTGAGCCTGTGTGAGGCTTGGAGTTGTTTTTATTGATATTGGCATAGCCTCCTTGATTTGCTTCTAGCGTTCATTGAGTCCTTCGGCTGATGGTTGAACTGACAGGCGATCGGAGAGTTCCGCTCCGAAGGCTGATTTACGACAATCGCTGACGTTGTATCGTACGTATCCGTTTTCGGTGACTTTTTCAAGGTTGTTTGCCAGGCGTAAGGAGAATTTGGCTCGTAGCAAAACGTGTTTCGTATCCATAGGTGTTGACCAGTAAGAGCGGCAATCTTGAATCGATCCCCTCCAGCGGTAACTGATGGCGATGTGGACGATTTGGGTCCGGCGCTGTGAAGAGTTTGGCGGTTTCCATGTAAGGCGATATCGTTTCTCGTGCGAGAAATTCGTGCTTGACTGGAACAGTCCGTGGTCGGCACAGAGTTGGAGTAGACGATCGCCGTTGCCCCTCCGATTGGCTGGGATTGCATGTGGTACACCAAGAAGCCTCTATGATTCGTCCAGGGATCCCACTTGAGCATTGAAGTCTCCGGCGATTACCACGATATCCGATGATCAAACGCTTGGGAGTAATCGAGAAAGGTTCTTGTAGAATTCATCCTTCATTTCAAACGTACTGCAATCGGTCGGTGCGTACATCGACACGACGAATAGACATCGACGCTTCGTTCTGTAGCTGTTGACCCGCGCTGAACCGTTGAAACGTACGGCGCACAGTCGGCTACGGACTGGAATCCAGTGGAGAAGCGAGCGTTCAACCTTGGCACTTAGCGCAATCCCGACACCAACAACACCGGGTCTGGGTTAGTAACACCGAATGGCCATTGGGACCTTATATGGTTAGCCACTCAAAATCCCAAGGGTACCGGTTACCTTTCATCTCACTATAAGTATTACCGCCAACAAGATCACTTCTCAATCACACTCACTAACATTCACGCCCTGAACCACAAGATGGATTGTGTACATCGTTTTCTTCAGTTCATTTCTCCTTTTGGTACATTTTTATCCGAAACACAACTTTTCTCTTCTACAGACACCACCCATCTTCAGTTTCTCAATTCACATTAGTCACACACATTAGTCATTCCCAAAGCCAATGCTTGTGCTTCTAATTGTTCTTACTCCGTTCTACCACTTAAAACTCATCAACCGCGAGTTCCAGACCATGTGGCTGAAACTTCGGTTCTCTTTGTTCAATCATTATTCCTGCACTATATACCGTTCACCAAATAGTAGTGACTCTTCACTTTGATATTTTATCAGTGAATGTTGACAACGTTGTTGGAGCAGACCCCAGAGCTCAGTTCACAAGTTGGAGTGATTTTAACGCTCATAACAGGGATCGGCTGATACACTCTTCAGAGATATCGCCCTTTGGACGTGAAGCAGAATCACTTACTCCGTTAAACAACCTCCACCAGTTAGTTAATTTCCCCACCAGTGCTGACGACCACACTGACACTCAATCTTGTCTTCACATCCAAACCACAATTATTTTCAAATATTGTCGAAGTGACCCCCCGGGGCTCATTGAGACATCGTCTTATTTCCTTAGTTGCCCTAATTATCCGTTCCAGTGTTCCTCCCAATTCTAGATGCACATTCTGGCGATACAGTTGCGCTGATTGGTGCAGCTTTCGTAACTTTCTGGCTTCCCACCCCTGAAGTGAAAGTTGTTTCTTCGCCGATGTCTCCATCTGAGCTTCGAAGTTTCCCAAAGTTCTTCTGCAAGGCGTGCACTTATTTATTACTCATTTCACTAAACCAAACAAACCCCTTTCTCTAGAATAGTTTACCCACGCCTGTTGTCGCGCTGTTCGTAAAAAGATATCAGCGTTCCGCCGCTGGGGTCATTCACCTTCCCCCCCGCTACCGACGATGGTTCTTGCAAGCACGCAACATCTGTACAACCGTCATACAGAAGGAGCAATTTGTTGAGGGCAAAGCAGAACAGTTAACAACCGCTCCTTCTGGAAGCCGGATAATTCTGGTCACTTTCCAAGGCAGTCTTCCGTAACTTCTGCCTCACTAGCTTCGCACCCATTGTTACACCATCTGTCGATTTAGTGCCAGACCCGATTGAAAAAGCCGAAGTGTTTACCTTCGATTTCGCTTTCAGTTCTAACCTACTCGAATCACCCATCCAACCCTCTGCGTACCCTACAATGAACCATCTTGACACTTAATGCAATCCTGAAACCAGTAAGTCTGATTTTCAATGGTTTCATTTTACTGTTGTGGTCGATGCTGCCTCCCAATGCGGTTCGTTCATCTAACACTACTGCAAAGGTTTTCGAAGGAATGACCTAATAAAAAGGACATTCGAAAAACACGACTAGTAACTCAAAAATTACCATTGATAATGGTCATGAGTGAACTTTGCATTCCGGAATGCTTTTTGCCAATCAACGAGCCCAATAGTTGGGAGGAAGAAAGATCACGAAATTGATCATTTGTTCTGTAGTAGAACGAGGTCAAACATTCAAATGTTGCTGACAGAATAGGCACAAAAGTACTCTTTCAAAGTCAGAGGACAATGAAGCGGAAACAAACATGGTAATAGATTGAAGAAAGACCTCCAATGACTCGATAAATCTCAGATTGTGCGCGCCATAGTGTGTGGAAAACATCCTGGAGCCATGTTATTCTAATATGTGAAGCTGATTAACTACGTTGAGGTCAGATTAGAGTGTAGCAAGTCGCGATTCCTTAGAATGATCTGAAGTATCGATCGAGTGGTGTTGTTCCCGTTTGCACCCAAATAGAGTCCGTAGCATGAGGACGAACATAATTGCAAAGTAGACTGATTTTCATGTTGTGAGTCTGCAAACAGGAATTTTAACACTAAAGAGGCACGTTGAAAAACAAAACAGTCAACGTTCAAGGTTCACTAAATTAAAAATGGAATATAGATAAGGCACAGATATAAAACGAACCCAATAAATTTTGAACCCTATATCTATGGTGGTTTCGCTGCATCTGTACACGTGCATACTGCAATCAAGGTGGTTTTTATAGTCAATGAAATAACAACCGTAAAATGAAGACAAGATAATTAATTCCAATGGACAACACGACAGAACAATACGAAAAANGACTAGAGCTTCGGCAAATCCGAGTCACTTTGCGTTTGTTGCGTTGTAGATGACCTGGAATGCGTGGGCTGGAGTGATACAATGTTTCTGTTCAAAAGGGTGTTGTGCAATCCGATATATTAGTCTTTTCCGCTCAGTTGATGACGTAACGATCTCAAGCTTGTCCTCCATTGCTTTCTTAAGCCACACCGGGATGTGTTCGGTCACTTCCTCTTTGTCCCGTCTACGTAGGTGACCGAGCGTCCACACACTCAAACATATTTTAGCAAAGTGGTTATCTAAAGTTCCGGTGCCGGTGAGAGTCCATTGTTTGGTATTATGTCTATTTGAAAAAAAAAACATTGTATCACTCCAGCCCACGCATTCCAGGTCATCTACAACGCAACAAACGCAAAGTGACTCGGATTTGCCGAAGCTCTAGTCATTCACAATCTCAAACTCGATCTGTGTGAAAAAACCTGAATGGTTGATCACATTAGCTTTGCCTCGTTGATTGACCCTCACACTATCCCGTTTTTCGTATTGTTCTGTCGTGTTGTCCATTGGAATTAATTATCTTGTCTTCATTTTACGGTTGTTATTTCATTGACTATAAAAACCACCTTGATTGCAGTATGCACGTGTACAGATGCAGTGAAACCACCAAAGATATAGCGTTCAAACCCATACCTGTGACTTATATATTCAAACTTATTGAGGAAAAACCAGCGCTAACAAAAATATATCTTGTTTATTCATTCCCAACCGGCGGTGTACCTTGAGAACTCACTCGTTTAGATTGGACGCCGGAAGGAATCGGAGAGTAGACATAGAGGCGAATAGGTCCAAGGGAATGCAAAGACCCAGCTCGAGCAACTCTTTAGGGATCTGAGGAACGTTGTCGGCTGCGGAAGGACTGATCGGAGGACTATGACTGCCACTTGCGATGTCGTTTTCGGCAGAATCAACAGTTTTGGCAGGAGGATCGTCGGTACTGGTTACCTTTGGAGTACAAATGAGCGGCTCCGCGACCGATTGATCATGAGCGTCCAACGAGGAAGTACGGGAAGAACGATGCGCGTGCAAGTAGGCACGTTTCTGAGCGATCGCAGTACGCAACGCGTCGAAGCAAAGGGAGTCCGGTGTGATAAGGAGGACGCCTTCGATAAAATCCTGATCAAAATGTAAGGGAATAACAAATGATTACAAAAAAAGTTAGATGTGTGTGGATTTGAACCAAAAATCGGTTGATGTTAGGAAGCCAGTAAAGTAAGAGTGAGTTAACGAAAAAACAATCATTTTCTAGCTCCTACCAGAATAACGACAAGGATTCACATGTTTTACAAACACAAAGGTTGAGTCACTCAACTTAAAATTGGCTTATTCGTCAGTTCAACTTATTACTACCTTAGACCCACCCCGAATCAAAAGCGATGAGATAGATTTCATCCATGACAATCAGTCGTACAGATCTTGTTGCACTGCGTAAGGTGTATATGCATGCGAGAACATACATTTCTGTTGAACGAGTACCACGCAGTATAGCAAATCCGTTATTTTCAGCCTCTTCAAGACATTAAACTATACGGAATTTTGAAATAGCATCGATTGCATACGCTAGGTGCATGGCGTGATTAGCAATGAGGTTGTGGCTGGCTTCATGCTGCTTACCTGGCTCCTGTTTAAAAGCCGCATAAGCCCAGTGACGTTGTCGTGACAAAGGTCGATGTGACTGGCCTTTTAAAACTAAAGTCATTGACCCCCTCACTTCCGAGGCAAGGGATTACTTCTTGCTGCCTTACAGTTCACTTGATTGTACAAAGGCTAGAGGTGCGCCCTCAAAATAAAAGACACCGAGTGACACCGGGGACGTCTCTCGTACCAAACTCCCGAGGAACTGCTTGATCATATCTGGAGCCGGCTTATCCTTTCCAAGGAGCCAGCCGTAGTAAAGAAAAGTAAGTAGTACACAACACGTAACTGACCTATTCAAGTGCAGGGCAGACTGGTTCAAAAGACTAGCTGGACTGAAGACGCGTCGGACGCGGATCAAAAAATACAACCATGAGCAGAGCACGAAGAGAAAACGGTACCCAGAAGAACTTCTGGATAATTGGAGAAGAGAAAGAGTCTGTGGAACTCACTTGAAGTGGACTAAAAAGATAAGCGAGAGAAATTGAAACGAAAGAGATTTAGGAGGCACTAAGTGTAACATAGTTGTTGTAGACCCATCAGAAAATATGCTCCACACGGGAATCCAGTGACACATTGACTGCACTACAGTCACGAGTGGTGCTGGTATTGGTATGTCGAGGGAGCGAGCGGAGTGTGGTGTCACCGGCAAACGAATGGATACGATTGTAAAAGATGATTGATAATTAGAGGAAAGAGGGTGGGTGCAAATACTGAACGGCAGAGATAGCACACCCATCAACTCGGACGACGATGGTTCGAATGCTGAGGAAACTTGATATCCACAATAAGAGAGCGGGAGAGAACCAAAACGTGGGCACCTTCGCCAGTGAATGTTCGTGCGAAACTCGGTCGAAGGCCTTTGAGATGTTAATGGAGATCAAGTGTATCTCTCTGTGATTACTGAGTGCAGCTGAGCAGAATTGTGAGACAAGGGACAGCAAGTCACTAGTAGAACGACGTTATCAGAAGCCGTACTGGTGGTCCCTCAGTAGTCCTCCAGGTTCTAAAACGCACATTGTTGGTCGAAAATGATGGTTTCAAAAACTCTCGAAGGATGGGTGTGATGAAAATCGATCGGTAAGTGCCCGCCTCAAAGGCAATCTGGGTACCCTGAATATTTGGTCACATCCAAAAAGGTGTATGAACTGGTCCCCCAGTCACCGGTTTGCAGTGGATCATGAACTCCCTATTCCACCCCACTGTCTTGTGGGTCTTATTCTTTAACTAAAGGCTTCGGTTAGGATTCCTCAAAGAAACGCTCTACTCCAGCCTAGGTAACCGGGTGGTACCTTGCCCATAATATAACCATGGACTTATGAACTTATACATTCACTGTTTAGAATCTCGCACTCATGCAAAGCTATCTCTTAAAATCTGCACGCAACACTTCCGCTCGTCCCCACACAATATCCCTATTTTCCCACTGTATGCCCCACATCGAACGGGTCCGCTGACGTAGGTTCATGTTGTAGCTCGCCGCTACCCGCCTTGACATGTCTCGGCATTACCTTGTCATTCAGTGCTGACCATCCCATTCCTCCGACCTCACTCTGCATTCAAACTGGTTTCGTTCAACGTTAGAACTCTAATGCGTATAGGACAAAAAGCAGGTTTGGCTTGTACGCTCGAAAGTCTAGAGATTGATGTGTGCTGCTTCTCGGAAACGCGCATCCAGGATCCGAGCTCAATGATCCGATTAACGTTTTCTTCCAATCCAGAAGAAGCGGTTCAACTGCGCGTTCCCGGGGTCCCTTTCGCTTCAGCGTTTAATCAAGGAGGGCCGAGGTTGGTCTATGGGACTGGATCCCAACAGATGGCCGACTATGCGCAGTGAAACTCAGAGGCCCAAATAAGGTCAAAAAGCAGAAACCAAATGAACGATGCTTATCCGTAGTTTCTGCATACGCTCCCACAGACTGTAGCCCAGATACAGTCAAGGATGCTTTCTATCACAACCGACATGAGCTTTTTCTCAAAACACCTAAGACGGATATCGTGATCCTGGTCGGAGACCTAAATGCACGCATTGGTCGTCTGT